GCTCATGTCACCGCTCTTGAATATCGAGCTGGTCAACCACACTGGATAGATGCCCCCAGTAAAGGCCTATCGTGGTCGTGTTAAGTAGTATCGTTGTGGGAGATGAAACGGGTTAGCAAGCGGAACAAACTTCGGCCGGGATGCAGTGCGGCCTGAGAAAAGACTTAGCCGGCCACGTAACCTCCGTTACGCATAATACTGGATGCATCCGGAATCGAAGCGGAATAAAAAGAGACTGTGCAAACTGCGAAACCAGTGTCAAACCACATGGGATCATTTCTCCATCTCCACAAAAATAGGAAAACAGCCCTCATTTTTGGGGGCATAAGTTTCCCGTAACAAACAATGTTATATGGTTGCAGGCCGGCGGCATCTTAGGAAAACCGTAGGGGTAGCTTCAAGGGATTTTGTCCCAGCTCGCTCACTGAAAGCGTGTAGAAGTTGTTACAGGCGTTGTATTCAGACTCTGCATCAGGTGAACCATTTCAAAAGGATGAGTAATTTATACCTTCGTTCTGTATTCACGGAGTTATTTGTTGCGCCTCACCGTCGACAAGATCAAATCGTCTGCAAGATTTGTGCACTTGAAACCCACTATACAATACCGCTAAGAATTCTTTCCACCACTACGTAAGACGGTAGGCAGATACTGTGTGGTAGCTGGACAGCTGGAAACCACTCATAGACAAACGAGGATACTCGTTATTCGCTAGAGCCTACTTCTTATTGTGAAGTTCCAATATTCGTGCTGGGATGTATGGTCCTCCCTATTCAGGATACCCCGTCACTTCAGTGTGGGCTGGAAGATTTGGTGGAACAGTCTTCATCCAAATGCCTTCCACCTAACATTTTCAAATGCAACAATGTCACACTCTATTTCTTTCGTAGTGTTATGCTGTAGTCTCTCATAAATGTCTCCTTCATCCTTGCTTTGATTGAAAATTGCACACCCAGACCTTCCGCGATCAAGTATCTCGGTGCATTTTGCCTCAGAACTTTCCAAAGAGCCAGAAAACATTTCACTTGTGACCACAGACATTAGGTATTTTCAGTATCCGGTAGAGATTTTTTAGTTGGTTTGATAATTTCTGGATGGCATGATGCCTACAACAAATTTTCGTCTAAGGTATTAACTGACCGTTTCCATCCACTACACAGTGGCGTTTTAAAAACGCAGCCTTTCCCTTCTACGCTTCAGAATACAAAATTTTATTCCCCCGCACGTCATCGTATCTTAACGCTATTTTGCTTGTCGACCGAGTGGAAACCATAAAAATGCTTCGCGAGCAGTTGATGGAGTGACACTTGTACATATTTTTTCTTTTCTTCTTAATTATGTATATGATACTATCATCTAGTTTGTCCGCATTGGTGACGTAAGTACTGAAAATGAACCCACTAAGGTTCATAAAATTTAGTTTAACCACTTGAATCACAACCAATGGAGATAAGAGCACGTTGTTCATCTTAACTGGCACACCACGACCGCGGTTTCGTCTTGGTTTAGACTCATCAGGTGGAGATAGCCTGAGCTAGAGTGGAACTCAGAGCTTAGTACTTCATGGCTGACGCCCTGAACACTATGCTACTGAGACCCGCGAGCAACGCATGGCACAGCGCGAAGTAATTCAAATCTGAACAACACAGCGTGCTCTCAAATTCAGCTTTGAATAACTTCCCGCTGTGCCATGCGTTGCTCGCGGATCGCAGTAGCATAGTGTTCACGGCGTCAACCATGAAGTACTAAGCAATGAGTTCCACCCTAGCTCGGGCTATCTCCACCTGATGAGTCTAAAGCAAGACGAAACCGCGGTCGTGGTGTGCCAGGGTTGGGAAGAGCAACACCCAATTATCTCCATTCAGGATACGGTCCTCGAGATCGGAATGACCGAGGTTTACCTCAAAGTGAGCCGAGGTCTCAATGGAGGTTGCGAGTCGCAACTCAACAACACAGCGTGCACCTTAAATCCAGCTTTGAATCATGTTGTTCTACTAACTGTTGCACGGCCGTCTGATAAATCAGCAACACAATATTCATCAAACTTAGCATTAAAATGAGCAGAGTGCGTTTGTAACATGCACAACGTGTTTCCAAGTTTCAAAATGTGTACTAAATAAGTACTCAGAACCAAACGTATTTTTCCCTCCGGGTTGATCACACCGAAGCAAATAATTTGTGTTTGCAAGCTATGACGATTTGCTGTGGTCTCCCAGGGCTCAGTGGCATAAGCTGCTGGCTAGTTGAAGCAAGCTACTAGCTGTCATGGGTTCGGTTCCCAGTAGTAGACCAAGCGAATGTGTACCACTGACGACTCGCATTAGGGTGAACCACCGTCTGGTGCATTTCTGGACTGGTGTTTAAGCAGTATTGTTTGTGAGCTACAGGGAAGAACCAATAAGAATTTAGGGGTTAGCAAGTATTTGCGAAGTAAGCATAAACTCCCACGGTCTACTGACAACATAAAGGTATCTAGCTCTGTCACTCTGATGTATCAGAGCAGAGGACATCAGACATTTTTCCCATCGGGTGGGATAACTTGAAAAAATGAGTAGCGCAGGCCTGATAACTTGAAAAATTAATAGTGCAAGCAGGGCAATTGACAAAATGAACAACTTAGGCCGCAAAATTATTCTGCACCATAGTAGAAAGCCATGACAAAGGCTCTGAGAAGAAGAAAACGTGACGCGCAGTGTCAGCCATTTTTCTTAGTAGCCTGCAATGAAGAGTATATGCACGAAAAACGATGCTGAATTACAAACGTAATATAAATTCTAATGAAATATTTGTAAGACAGAGGACTAAAAGTAATTGGTGGAACTACGGCTCATCAGAGGTACACAGAAATGCTAATGGTACCTCCGGTAATAGAAGACATATATATGGTTGGCGGCATCCGGATTCGGATTTGCCTGTCACTGTGATAAGCCACAGGACGCCCGCGCCTACAGAGGGATCAGGGTGGCTTGCGCTGCACCACCCACAGCTCAAACCACACACCCCATATCCAGTGTAAACCCAAAGGAATAAGACCGAGAGCATGTGGATAGGAGCCACGTTTCATCAACGGAGTCAGCCCACACTCCTTCACAGGCAAACACAAGCACGTTCTAGTTGGCGAGTCCAGCGCACACATGGGGTAGCTGGACCGTAGTCCGCTCCACACTCACTGCATGGAACCACTCTTTGATCCTAACACGGCCACAAGGACCGTGCACCCTGTCCCCTCCAGCAACGACCAACTGTCTCCTGGAGCCAGTATGAACGAGGTAGTGGGTAATAGACAGGTAGGCACCTTGTCAACATGCACACCAAGCGTAGCCACACCGGGGATGTCAAACAACAGCCCATCACTTGAAATGACATTATCAAATAAAATATATCAGTTAAAGAATACGGCTATGCAGACATAACTCTACCCTAAAATAGCATATGAAGTAAGTTGGTTAGCAACCAATCCACGATAAATACAAAACGTCCGGAAGTTACTCAAAATGCTACAAATGCAATAAAGTTAAGGAAGATAACCACAATTATTGTAAGCAACGTGACCAGCTAATAGAAGATTAGTCAGGTAGGCAGAACAAACCAAATAAAGTGGAATGAAATGTATCCAGCTTAAAATGACCTAGTTTAAGTGTAAGTTGGTTTAGTTCAACTGCGGTGAAGAAGCATCAAGAATGCAACATCAGCCTCAGCATAGGGCATAGAAGACATTGTAAATATATATATATATAAGCGAAATAGAAACTAGAGGCCTTTGCCACAGTGTTCCTACCACAGTCAAACCAGTAGTGATTGTATTGAATTCCGGTAGTACTTGCACGTATTTAGCAGCACCGAAATGTACGAAACTCAAAAATTTGCGGTTCCAGATCAGTTCCGTACTAACTACCCGCAATTTTTTCCAAATACCTAGCAAGTATGTCTCTAAAGTGACACATACATAAACTTGTGGCGTTCCAACTGACACATGGTCAACATCCGGTTCCGGATTCGATTGTCACTGCGGCCTTCCCAGGGAGAGCGAAAGGAAGCGTTCCATATGACACCTGGTTTAAAGGGGCTGACAAAGGGAAAATCGCGGCACAAACGTGTGGGTTGAACGGAAACACAGTAAGATGCATGGATGACTGGGTTCCATGCGTGATCACATATCAAAATTCCAGCCACGTGTAGTCACTAATAGTACGGAGCGCTGTGTCATTATTAGCAACCATAACCTGTCTCACGATAGTATTCAAACGGTATAAGGTCAAGAACAACACAACATGCAGTGTCACATGTAAATTGCATCACCGCGTCCTGTCTTCCATACGCCTTACCAAGGAAATTTGTGTACAGTCCCCAGGCCGGATGAACTAACCTCGCGGGCCGAATCCGGGCCGGCCGGCTGTAGTTTGTTGACTCCTGTATAAGAGGGTTGTATACACCAATCACTAACGTACGAGCGATGCCCAAACTCCGGTGCTATGATCATAATGAGGTGGACTCGAAACTATAGATCACATTGCATCAGAGTGAGTAGTGCGGAAATGTCTCTGGCCAATGGGGTTCTAACTCATAACTAATGTACTTTAAACGTATCTTTCCCAGCAGTTCACAAGCTCAACAACAATCCGGAAAAACATCAGACGCACTTCGCCATATTGGGGCACGTCAGTGATGGATATTCTCTCGGGCCCTTAGCGGGAATCGAACTCATGACCGCTAGAGATTGAGGCCAAATAGCCAGCAGCTTAAGGCACTAGAACCTGGGGAACGGCGGTTGGGCCGCATACTTCGCAAGCTACCTAACTAATGATACAACTCGAATCACCGTCTGTTTAATTAGCTTCTGCGTAATAGACCGTTTCTTTGATAGATGCATTTGTGTCCGATAGTGATTCCCATCGAAGTAGCTCGAAATCTAGACCGTGGGTCCACAATGATGTCTGGTCTATTGATATTTATGGTGCAAGCGAATTGAAGCCTAAGCTAAACTATCAAATTCATCTTTCAGACCCAAAGAATAAAGAGAATTTGGAAGCGATCGCCTGCTCCATGTTCGTGCTCTGCCTGGATCAGCCGATTGGCCCCGTTCGCGAATTGGAAGAAGTAGTCGACTTGAATGGATCCATCGATGAGCTGTCAGAAGAGGATGCGGAAGTAGAACGTGATGACGTCTCATTGGCGCTTCAGCTGTTACATGGCATGGGAAGCAAGTTTAATGCGGCAAATCGATGGTATGACAAAACGATGCAGGTTCGTGTGTTCCATACATCGACTAAATCGATTCCCGGTTACTTTTTCTCTTAGTGGTTAGCTTCTCAATCTATGTGGAATTACAAGCCAAAAAGGAACACACACACCCACAGAGGTATAAGCACCTGGGCACAGAAAAGCGTCTGAATGTCTAGTCCACCAGAGCTGCAGTTTACTCCCGGTAATTACACGTTGGGCAGCAGAGACCAGCCATTGGTCAACAAACTGTGGTAATTCCGCTGAACTAGCTGAAACAAAAACAAGCCCAACTGTAGCAACAGGTGTTCTCACGTGGAGCTGATCTCACGCTCTTCAGTTGCTAACTCATAAATGACCGTGTGACGAAATCCAAAGGAGCTATTATGTGAAGAAAATAAATTTCAAACTATAACAGTGGGCCGCGGATCCAAACAGACAAATGAATCTAGCTGATTACAGAATCTAGCTGAATAGAATCTAGAATCCCACAACGCGTTGAGTGCCTATCAGATGTCTACACAGCAATACCACCAAAAGATCGCAGTCACCAAATAAAGGTGGTAAGAAATAGATGCGAATTTAAAGTGAACAAAATCGGTGTTATCGTCCCTAACCATATGTGAAGTGACGAATAAGAATATAATTTCTGCGGTAGGATTTCTCTTCCCAGAATAATGACCATACCTATGATCCCGTTAGTGAGCTAGTAATCCGTTCAAATAAATTGTGTATCCATCGAAATTCAACTAAATCGCCAGAAACTGCCGAGTTGAGGTGTAATATAACAGCTATGAAGGAGGATGTTCGTACCTTTTTCACAAAGTACCACTAGAACTAGGCTGGAAAGAGGATGGCTTACATTCAAAGAGTCGTTGCCTGTTCCGTATCCGTGTCTGAAATCGCGTTGTGCTCGCTTCTGTAAGGCATTTTATTCTATCAATCGGTTGGGACGCATAAAAGGGAGATTGATCCATACAGGAATTGTGAGGACAGGATACAATAACTACTGGCTTTCATGTTCTTTTATGAACCGATATGGATAGTGTCAAAAAGAATTGTATTCATCGGAATCACCTGCGTGCTGCCGGCATTCCTTGCTTCAGGTGAATGACTTTCACTCTTGTAATCTAATCAACCGTGGTTCTGTTTGCGATACAGCATGTTTACATAGGTTCTGTGGGCACAGGGACTGAATTCCTGGTACGCTTTCAGGATATGACGTCATGAAGCAAAAAAGCCACGATAAGAACATGGAAGATAAATACATCTGGCGTAATTATCAACATGAAGCGAGCCCGTACATAGTTAAAAGTTGAAGTTCCCAAACACAGTTGAGGTATAGATCCCACAAAGGAAGTAAGGTAATTACGCCCGGGGTACGCCGAATTTGACAATCCATTCTACCTTAATACGAAAAACTGTCCGCAACAGCTTTTCAGATGGCCCATCAAATGTTGTTAAGGTCTGCCGGAAAATGGCTCTGAGATTCAACCGAATGATTGGGGGCTGATTACCGTTTAGTGGACCCTGAACAACGCTGGAGAAGGACGAATTTGATTTTGATACATAAACTGCATGCGCACAGTGTATGACCAGTGAACCATAGCAGCCTATTCATCAAAAAAAACATGGGAAACCACATTAGGCTTCTCGACAACACTGAAGTTAAGCTATGGAGCAAGGGAATATGTTCGCGATGCAATTGCGACTAAGCACTAGATGTTTAGTTTCTTTTGCACAGAGCTTTTCATCCATTGGTTCAAACAAAAGACATTGTTCTAACCAAAAAACTTTAGACTGAAGCTGACGAAAGTTCAACATTCTTTTCCACAACGATGTTTTTGTTATTGTGATGCAGGCGAACGAATTCAGCACACAATAGTGTTTTTGTAACGATTTATTCGATAAGTTAGCGTTTAACAGTGTAACCATACAGAAGCACAATCTCGATATCCTAATGAAATAGCAGTAATTGTCTGAGAGGCTGCGTTGTGGCTTTATACACTGCTGTGGCAACATCAGTGTTTGACTGAAGCCGCAGTCATTTAATAGATAAATTTATAGATTTCCCCACAAGCGGTATACTCTCACTGAGTGGGAGAGATCATTTGGATATTGAAATAGTGACAAAATATCCTTATCTTTATCCCTACATATAAAACATTTAAGGCCATGAATTTTCTTTACATTTCTTATCCCACAGTTAATGCATTACTTTTATACAGATCAGCGATCCGATCGCCTGCAATGCATTCATTTGATACAATTATTTCTGTGCTTTGTTTCAGAGTTACTGTGTAGCGAAAGCCGGGATTACTGAGTGTTTAGGTGAGGTCGAGTAGGTGGCGAAGGTACAATTTTCATTGTGGGGGCAATTATAAACTGACATAAGTTGAATGCAGGCTACCAACCGATTGCGCTGTTCGGATTCGATACCGTTAAGGAATCTGGAGATTGCTGTAAGTCCAATCTATTCGATATATTCGGTAGAGTATGCAAAGTTTCCGGAGTTTTTCGGCGTGTGTAGAGTTCTGCCAACGCGCCTACCTTTCGTGGAAATTTGACTCTCATGACTGGAACGATGTAAGGGCAGTAGGTGGTCCACCAGTACGAGTAGTATAGAAAGTGGTTTTTCGGATTTCAGTTTTGAGGCTGTCTGTGAAAACCCGTTTATATATCATGTTGCAGAGAAATATGGAGTGTTCTCACGTCGTCGAAGATAAAGGGGATCCAGTCCGAGATGACGACATGCGTCATGGGATCTCAAGATTGTGGATCACCTCGCGACTAACTAGGCAGATTGTCGTTGGATATTTCTAGAGTTATCCCACCTTTCCTTTGTAGTATTGTGTCACTGATATTACAATAGACCGGAGTAGGTCGTACTGTGATTTTGAATAATTTAAGTTGTAGCATGAAGACTATGGTTTATCATAGGTACATGTAACGAGCGATTGACAAGTCCCATATGAGAGTAGTGCGGATACCTCGGGAAAAGAACCGTTCACCAAGTAAGGTCAGTTTTGTTGAACTCAAAGGGAAATTCAGCCAACCACAGTGCCCATTCATGTTGCGTCGAGGTATAGTTACACTGTAATAAAAGTGCATTGGTGCATCGTTACAATGTTTTTTTTATCTCGGCAAAGCGGAGGCAGAAATAACTTAAATGGGTAGGTTGCGTACATCCTCGTTACACTGCGTACTGCTTATTGGTTGGAAGCAACAATAAGAGATATCCCTATGTAGCTGCATCCAATGGCATTAAGGTACAAAGTCAGTTATGTTTGAGTGCGTTAAATTTATTTTATATCGATGGTGTTTGTCTAGGAATTTCTTGAATCCCGACACCGACTTTGCCGCAACTACGTACTGTGTCAGGTTGTTCCATACATTCACAGCCATCCGTTCGAAACGGAGTTGGTGGATGACCCACTTCAACTCCAATATTACAAGCTTACACCGGTGTCTTCCTGTGTTGCTTGGTATGCACAGATGCAGCAGCAACCTCAATATGGAGTAATCATCAAGAAGTAATGCCCGGTGCTTGATGAAGAAGTTGACCCGTACTCGACCATAAAATGGTGTGTAAAGCACTAGTCTCCTATATCTGTCTTTATACACACATCTCGTAGATTGAGGATCAGCCTGGTAACCCTATGCTCTATCCGCTCAATCCTTTCTACATCTCTCCGGTTGATAGGACAGCATGAGGCTGAGACTTACTCCTGCATTGGTCATATTAGTGAGACGAAAAGGTGTGGCAATCTCTTCAGACCAAGTGCTGAAGTTGCTCTTGAAACCCCAGAGCATACGAAGACCGCTTTGGTAAAACCGACTTGTGTTGTTCACGGACATTAGATCGCAGGGTGACAGTGCACCGAGGGCTTTCACGAGAGACGCGTGATGTAGCGGTTGACAGGCTACAGTGTAGGTTCGACTGTGCTCACAATTACCCAGCCTCATGAATTGCGACTTGACCGGGTTTATCGGAAGGTTGACCTCTGTAGACCACATGGAGAGGCGGTCGAGGTACTGCTGAAGCAGGTCACGGTAATCGTGTGCGTGCATTACTCTCCAAACCTTCAAGTTATCTGTAACCAATGCACAAGATGAACGAAGAATCTGAGGCACATTGTTTGTAGGGTTCAGGAAGAAAATGGGCCTCAAGACAATGCCTAAGGGCAATTCATTCCTTGAAGGATACCAGGCGGTCAGATGGCTGTCGACCTGGACTATCCACTTTCGAGAAATGATGAACTTCCTGAGCCATCGGTACAGCGAGCCACTAACACGGCACACTCTCAGCCTGTTGAGGAGCACCTCAAAATTGACATTGTCAAAAACCTTACTGAAGTCGATGTAGATGACAACGATCGTCTTGCCTTGGTTAAGGGCTTGCAGCAATTTTTCCTTGTTAACAGCAGGTTGGTGGTGCGGGCGTCATATGGCTATTAAGTGGAGAAGCTACTGAAGACACTCCTTCATGATTTTCTCAGGCGTCTGCCAAAACAACAGCCAGGTAGATCGGCCGGTAGTTCTTCACTTTGCTTGGGTCACCACCTTTCGGCATTGGCTGTATGACTGAGCATTTCCAGTCGCTCAGTAATGAATTAGTGAATAGTGACCAGTTGGACAGCTCAGTCACAGTAGACCGGATGATGGCCGATAGGTACTTAGAGATCAGTGTGTGGATTCCATCTGGCCAGTAAAATTTCTTCTCGTTAAGACTTGCCAATAGCTTGCGTATATTTCTAATGCTGCAATCCAGCCAATCGAGTTCAGCGGGGGTGGTACCCGTCGAACTCGATACAGACACCAGATCACTAGCAAATACAGAGGCGAAATGCGCCGTCATTGCGGAAGTACGATCTACGCTTGAGGTCAGGAGCTGTCCATCTGAGCCCTCCAGCATTGGCAACTTTCCTGCAGGCTTCAGGCGTCGCTTCCCGTAGGCGAAGATTCTCTTTTTAGCCGTTTGGCTGCGGCTGCAGGATGCTCTTCGAAGTTTCAGTGCTTTTTAT